CCCCAAAACCCCAAAACCCCAAAACCCCAAAACCCCTAACTCTTTAAGAATTACTGAAAATTTCGTTTTCCGGACATTTTAAATAATATTCGGAAGTTTCAAAAATGTGGGCTACCCCTTGGTTATCTCTTCTGAGAGGGGTTAAAACCCTAGTGAAATAGCAACGAAAGAGCTTTTTAGGTCGAAATATTTATGAAAAATATAGTCATTTATCGGATACATCTTGTCCAAGATAAAAGTGAAACCATTTAGCGCCGTTAGTTGAGAGTCTCTTAATTCACCAAGTTATTCCTGATGTATAAGAATCTTTTGTATCCCTTTTGATCTGAATCAAAGAGAGTAGGCTAGGTGATCGGCTCACCAAGGTTATACCTTATCTCATCGAACATCTTGGAAGGATTCATTTGAGTTTTCTCAAATTTCACTTTCTAAGATCACTCAGAAACCAAATGTGGGTATTCAAATAAACCTAGATCACTCATTGATCTTGGCAAAATGTATATTTTATAGAACTTGCTTAGTTCAAGTAGTTCTTAAAGACTTCATAAGTCAATAGAAGACTTGCGTTTCCAGGAAAAATCCTGAAACATTGGGGAACTAAACCTTTGTAGAGAGTTGCGATCCCACCTGCCCTATACAACTCTGTGGTTACTTCTGGGATTGTACGATGCTTTGGAGACGTTTGGATAATACTCTTTACAGTGTCCAGAGGGATCGAACCTCACCAAGCGATCAGACCTGCCATACCACCAGCTAGTATCTTCTTAAGAATCAATCTAGAGTGTGACTGCTCTTGGTCAACTCTGAAGATCCTCTCTAATTTGTCTTTAGACATGAAAAGCAAACCTGACCCAGGAACTTCTCTTAGAAAAGTAGGTAAGGCTCCTTTATAGATCCCTCTTGGACCTTGAGTTTTCATAGTCTTCAGAAAGTCTTTTCTTATGCTGTAAGTTCCGCTAGTGCTACTCTGTGATTTGCACTTGAAGAGTTCGACTGGAACAATGATCGGCAAAAGTGAAAGTCCAGCAAAGGCTCCACAGGAAAAATTGGTAAAGTCTTTGTTTAGCCCTAAGCATTCGACTCTTGGCTTGATCATCTCATGAGAGGTAAAAAGCCAAGCAGTGATTGGAGCTCTGAAGAATATTGGTGCTGCAGCTCCACTGAAGAACCCCCTGATTCCACTTTTTCTCCATATTGATTTTCAGATAGTAGAAGCTCTGAGTTTTTCAGAAGATCACTGTAATTTCACCTAAAAAGTAAAGTAAGTAAAGTCCAGAAAATAATGGGTGAAAGACTTACCTTGACTGTATCGGCAGGGTGTGATACCATTACAGATATAGTTCCAGCAATTGCACCGGAGGCATAGAAAGAAAGGAGACTTTCTCTCGTTGTTTGGGTATACATTAATTCCTCATCCATTTCTTAAAATTTTTTATGTATTAATGCTCTGAATGCAACCTTTTAAATTTATTGTGGGGTTTTGGGGTTTTGGGGTTTTGGGG